TAGGATATAATCCATGCTGCATACTCCGATACAGTAGGTGGCGGTATGCACCTGATAAGTCATGGTTGCAATCTGCTATAAAACTAACAAGAAGAAGAAGAAAAACACCGCTATTAGTTCAAAGACTGTTTAGGACCCGAGAAGAACAATCAACATCAAGAAAGGATTTAATCTATGAAGTACGTATAAATCTGTTTAGGATTCAGGAAATTGGTATAATCCTGAGGTTCCTATGGGTACCTGCACATGTAGCAGTACTAGGAAATGAAATAGTCGATAAACTGGCCAAACAAGCAATGAAACATATGAACGTTTTTTTTTAATTGGGACTTATTAAAAGTTTGAATCATTTAGAGAGCCGGGCTTTCATTAATGGGTTTATTTTCCCATAATGCCTTGGGAGTATTTACCAAAATAAAATAAATATATGAACTTTAAATATTGAGTGGAACCTAAATTATTATTTAGAAAGGAGAAAGAAATCAATAACAAGTTACAGACGAACATTTAGAATGCACAACAATATTACACTATATCATTGATCAATGGTTGTTAATCTGAAATCCACTTTACTTTTTGTATACTGTATACTGTAGCTGAACTACTCACTTTTTCTCGGTAACTCTTCTGTTCTCCAACACTATGGTTGACAGAATAAATGAATCAAGGCTGACTGGCAATTTTTTTTACAGTGTGGTATGTGATGCTGCAACCACAACTTTTAGATGTCGGCACAACAAGAGTCATGAAAGTGTTCTGTTGTACGTATGCAGTGTGTATGTTCATATACACTTGTATGTTCTCACAGGTTATTAACGGGACTCCTTGCTCTGCAGTGATGACGTCCCTGGTAAGTGCCTCAGCATAGTTGTGGTTGGTCGGATTGTTCAACACCAGCCAGATTCGGCAGAATGCAAATTGTGCGTCATTTTAGAAATTATGTCTACATTTTTATCTATTACAATCATCATACTGTACAGATCGGCAATAAAACATTTTGTCAGTGTTGTCTGTCTCTCAGGCCTAAGAGATTGTTCTTGTTTGCAGGGGAGCAGCAGTTCCTCCGCAACGGAGTATGTTGTACGAGTTCCAAAGTAAGATTTGTATTTTATTTCTTTTATTATTATATACTTCTATTAGAAATTCAACTACTGACTCTATAGTGCTGTCAAAGAAAGCGGTTGATATCTGAATTCTGGTATTTTGCCCAACAGAAACACCAGTAAGAAATACAACATAATGGCTTTCAATGCTGGTGATAAAGTCAGTTGTTCCACGTGGACTCAGGTAACAGTCATTATATATGGCCACTGCTTACACTTACCATGCAATATTTCCTTCACTGTATTTTTCAATCTCTCTCTCTGTGTGTATATGCAATGTTTAGGCTCGTATGGAGCGTGACATGAGTAATAAGCGTATATATGGCGAAGAGGAGACTCAGGAGGGGGCAGCTGGCAGTGAGTTTGGAAAGAAACAGAGAGAGGAAGCACGGAGGAAGAAGTATGGTATCGTTACGAAGGAGTTCAAGGTGGAGGACCAGCCCTGGAATTTTTTTTTAATTGGGACTTATTAAAAGTTTGAATCATTTAGAGAGCCGGGCTTTCATTAATGGGTTTATTTTCCCATAATGCCTTGGGAGTATTTACCAAAATAAAATAAATATATGAACTTTAAATATTGAGTGGAACCTAAATTATTATTTAGAAAGGAGAAAGAAATCAATAACAAGTTACAGACGAACATTTAGAATGCACAACAATATTACACTATATCATTGATCAATGGTTGTTAATCTGAAATCCACTTTACTTTTTGTATACTGTAGCTGAACTACTCACTTTTTCTCGGTAACTCTTCTGTTCTCCAACACTATGGTTGACAGAATAAATGAATCAAGGCTGACTGGCAATTTTTTTTACAGTGTGGTATGTGATGCTGCAACCACAACTTTTAGATGTCGGCACAACAAGAGTCATGAAAGTGTTCTGTTGTACGTATGCAGTGTGTATGTTCATATACACTTGTATGTTCTCACAGGTTATTAACGGGACTCCTTGCTCTGCAGTGATGACGTCCCTGGTAAGTGCCTCAGCATAGTTGTGGTTGGTCGGATTGTTCAACACCAGCCAGATTCGGCAGAATGCAAATTGTGCGTCATTTTAGAAATTATGTCTACATTTTTATCTATTACAATC